ACACACACACACACACACACACACACACACACACACACACAATAGAGAATAACACTTACCTAAAAGTGAGTAAACATTACACAGACACTAGTTTATTTGTGTAAGGAAAGAGTTGCCACTGAATCCACTCTAAGTTCATGAATTAACTTCACTCGTCTGCAAGCATGTAGAGTAAGTTTGAAGTAGCTAATAAAATCATAGGATGCCTCATTAAGAGGACAAGGTTAGGTGTATAAAAAGTGATTATGGTTGCATTCGGCCACTTTATATCTTGATTTAGTATATTTTTAACGCCATTTCGTAAAGTATGAATTTTATTCGGATGATGCTTGTCGCAGTACTGACGAAAGCTTAGAACTGGTTCGTCGAAGTCACAGAACGGTCAAACGAGGACTTCTTCCCTCAATCCAATAATCTTCACTCCGCGACAATCCGTCTTCTGTTTCCGGTGAAACCATTCCATTAATTCCTTCCAACTAACTTTTCTTTCGGAATGGAAAGTCATGTCACAATATGAACATTTATTTTTTCCTATTGGCATGCCGTGAAGTAGGACGGCACGTATTTCTGCAAACGGAGTTATCCGGTCAGCAGTTTAGTATTACTGACAGCCTGACAGTAGAACATTAAGTGAATTGTAGTTTTATCTCCTAATCAGCCCACAGGTTGTAAGGGTTTTTTACATTTTTTACTTGAACTATTTTGGAGAAGGCTTAGAGTCTTAGGATTGTTTCTAACTATTTAGCTTTTTGCTTTAGCAATCGGTATATAATAAACCACTCATTAAATAGCAACATTGATTCAGACCTCTCTGCTATCCTGATCTAGCCATAAGTAGATTGAACGCTCGTATGTCTAACAAATATACAACTATTACTAGATTTGAGTTGAAATTTAATTTATAATTTCTCAAAATTATTTTACCCAGGTGTCTGGCATTGGCCACGTCACTGAACGCCGCCTTCAGGCATTTGGTGTGCATGTCTGCGGTGACATTTTGCCGAAGCGGGGCGTGTTATTCCATCTTCTACAGAGGTCCACCTTGCTTCATTGTCTTCGGGTGGCTCTTGGCCATAGCCAAGATGACTGGCTTCCTCATGGCCTTAAGAATCTATCCAAAGTAGGAAGCTCTCCAGAAAAAGCTAAATGTGCTGTCCCATCCACCTCTCATTCTGCATTCGGGCTGGATCGAAAGAGCATTAGCGTAGAAAGGTGATCTTTTCCCTCACTAATATTTACATTTTTTCAATTTTTTCTATCATTCTTTGTTGTCCTGATTTGTACTCTTGCAACCTTAATTCTCTATTTTTAATATTTCACCAGTCAACTTTTATTCAAAGCAATTTTTTTGTTACGATCTAAACTTTTTCACTCGCAAGCGAATAGCATATACCTGGTTTGGACTATTTTATTCAACTTGTTCATCTCAACTGAAGGTCTTTATAATGTTATTTGATGGCCTATTTTTGTTTCGATTTAATTTACTCTAAATATTCAGTTGCTTTGCTGCCCCAAGACAGAACTTCCATTTATTAGAGCTTTTATAGCCCCTAAAAGTGGTTCTAGCATTGCTTTTCTTATTCTCAAGTTTTCCTTATTTTTTTGGGGGGCTCAGTACCTATGATTTTCTGCGATAGTAAGCTCTTTAGCTCAATACAAGTTACTCAGACCTACACATTATATTCCTTGTGTGTTATCACCTGTGTCTTAGGCATTATACGATGATTATGATTTTGAAAACTGGCATATCCCATGTATTTTCCGTGTACTCGGCCACATTCCCAGATTTATAGCTTATTATTTACGTTTTTTTCCAAGCTATTTTTTTTCTAATTAGGCTGTGGCTGCAGTATGTGATATAAAGGCTGTAAAGCATAGAACAATAAATTTTTGAACTTTGGACTTATCTCTTATTCGTTGGCGACCACTCAACTACTATTAACGAAACTTCAAGAGATTAATAGTGTACTTTCAGCTATCCTCTTTCAAGGCTTCAAGGTAATGTTGATAGGCATTATAAATATCTTTTTATTCAAGAACTGATGGTCACTTGATTTTTTTCTACCTACCGAAACTCGATTTTCTCTGTCTGGCTCCTGTGCTCATCTCTATAAAATTTTAGCCACTCATTTTTTTTCAATATGACCATCGTTTTATCTGCTTTGTTTTCATTGACTTTTTCAAGGATGGCAGCAAACTCAAGGCATGTGAGTCCTTCACCTGAGGCCGATTTTGATCATATTGCACATTCGATTGAAATGTGATATACATTTGAGCATGAGTGTTCTAAACACATGCTCATTACTACTAATGTTCATTGTTGTTCGGGCCTTCTGACATATTATCCTAGGAGGGAATTTCAAGTTTATAGCCTACTTGGGTTCGCCTATGGTCACGCCTATTCGTGCAGCTATGCATATCATTTCTTTATTGCGCATTTTCGTTTGGGTGGTTCTGGCTCTTGCATGTTTTCGTACCCGGCCATGTGCATTTGTGCACTTTTATTTGAGTCTTATATATCCTGCTTTTATAGGTAGTCTATGGCCTACATTAATATTTGGATATTTCAGAGGCGCATTCATCCAATTATCACATATAATCTATGCCTATTGACTCTTTTCATAGTTCGCTTCCTTCATTCGTGAGAAGAATATCAGAGATTACATATTCTGGACCACCGGAAACTGGCTAGATTCTAGATGGCTTTCAGCAATGTTCTTCGTAATCTCGACAAAACTCCATTTGCTAGCTTTCTGCTGCCCGAGGAAGCTTGAATTTCGCCAAATCTCCGCCCAACTGCAAAGTAAAGTCCATAACCTCAAAAGCGTAGCTGTTTGAATGCAGCAATTAGGCAAGCAGGAAGTCATGATGGCTCGCATGCCTATCTACTACTGCAAATC